CAAGAGTTGAGTTTGGAATTTGACTTGGAATCAATCGAAGTTACTAACAGAAATAGAGAGCAGGGTATACTTGATAATACTGAAAATGAAGCTATTGAACTGGCCTGTATGTATCAAAATGCAAGGAAGGCTAAAAAGAATACTATCTACGCTAAGCAAGAAGAAATTTTAAGTTGGTATCATTATGCAAAAAGCTTTGAAAAAAGAGTTTATGATGTCTTAACTAATTGCAAAAATACTAAAAGAGCGGATGACTTAGCAAGAATTCAGGTTTATGATGAAATCTGGAATTGTCTTTTCGGCGTCTCACGTGAAAATTTCTGCAGACAAACTCAAAAAGCTTGTAAAATTTATAAGTTGTTTGATGGCATAGGAATAGAAAAGGTCAAATGAGTTAAATCTTATAGCACAAATAGGATATCAAAACTTACTAACCCTCAAATTCAATATATTATAGATTATTTCAATGGACATGAACCCTGCGTCCCAGGACGCATGGTCATATAACTGAAATTTCTGAAACTAATAATAAAATCTTGTCTGAAGAAAACACATCAAAAACTGAGATAAGCGTATCAACTGCATCTATCTCATTGTCTCATACCTCTAATTCGGAAGACAAATCTTTACTGGAGACTAAGATAAGTGCATCGTCTAATCCAACTCATAACCATATTTATTTTCGTAATAAAACACTAGAACAGTATCCTAATTTATATAAAGATGGTGATAGTAAAAATGTAGATTATTACGGAATTACTGATGAGACACTATGTCCTTTATGCAAATTAGTTCATGATGACGATGAAGATATAGAAGGTAAATATGAAATTGGTTTCTATTATATTAAATGTGAATAGCGTGAAGTTGAAATTGAGGTAATGGCATGAAATTTGTCTTATATTAACACAATTCACTTAAGTCTTTAAGGTGTCTCTCTGAGGCATATTTATTTTTTTTTGTTAAATATTGTTAATTAAAGAGACGCACAATTACATAAATGACACATGAATACACAGACAAAGTCCAATAAAATATTAACTCCCGAATATTTGAAATAGAATAATAAATTTACTGGATTACCAAGTGTTTTAACCGACAAAATTCATTCCAAGTTATATAAGAGATACAAGAAAGAAACTGGTCTCGATCTTTGGATAGATTCTAAACTCTCTGAATCTTTTGAGGAAAAAACTTTATTTGTACTGCGAGTAAATGTTCAGTCTATGCTATCAAAATCTCGATCACCAATTTCTGTTCTACCTAAAGACCTGGAAGAAAGGCAATAACACGTTATTGAAATGGTATTAGACTGATTTCCTTATTTAACTTGAAACATAGTTTTAAATATAGTAATTATTTTGATTTTAATAGATCTGTACTCTGTCCTATATGCAACAATGATCATAAAAAAGAGAATATAAGGAATTTTATAGAGGGTGAGTAGGGAAGTGGCGAATATTGTGGTGAAAAAACTTATCGTCTCTATTGTTATAAAAATAAATATCAAAATTCAATCCAAATAGTAACCATAAAAGCATATATTAATAAGAAAACTCTTTTATTTCCACTAATTAATAATCGCAAATTGCATTGCAGACCCAAAGGAGTGACCCTAAAGGGTCAAAATCACATAAAAATAAAAGATGATTAGGAGCCTAGTGGACCCCTTCTTTATTTAATATTTTTTTTGCCGGAATAATAACAGACGAATAAAAAAAACATATAATAAAAAAAACAAATAAAAAAATATATATCGCTGTTACATAAAGCGAATAAAAAAATATATTTTTACTGCTTTGGATTTATAATGAATACTGCGTTATCAAGATCTTCAGGTTTTTTAAAAATTTCAGATAATTTCTCTTCCGATTTAATATCTCGTATGTAAGCAATTCTTTTGACCGAAATTTTAAAACGTGCTTCAATCTTTGCTTTAAAATCTTCGAATGTATAACCCCACTTAATTACATCAGGATATTTACAGGATAGAAATTCAAGCACGGTATCAAATTCATCGGGAAGTGTGGCCATTTTTTCTGAATATAAAATTTTAATGAGTTTTGCTTTCATAGTTTTTGCTATAAATATCACAATCTCATATAAATCATTATCTTAGAACTAAATTGCGAGTAACTTATGTTAAACTTTTTTTTCAAAAATATATAAGCAAAAAATAACGTTATTGCTAACTTATTTTATGGGTGGGAACTTGCTTATTTTTATACTGTCCATTTGCTAGATCTAGAGAACCTGCCAGAAAGAAAGTTACATGATTAGTAATTGTGGTAGAGTAACGCAATCTAGATTTCACCATGTAAAGCAACTCCGCTCGGTCATAAGTTCTGTATATTGAAGCTATTTTGTCATTTTTTCTGGTAAAATTAACCCCCTTAGATTCGACGATCTTTCCTGCGAAGTAAAAAAGTCAATGATCTCAACGATCTGGGAATGCCAAGTTCTTGCGACATATGAATTTTGATAAAACTACTGATAAAGAACGTTATACTCATTGCCCTTATAGCCTTTTTAAGTCCCAT